AGTTGATTTTATTTATTGCTTTCTGATCTTTGGTCTTGTCATATGAGTTGTACAATTGTCCTCGTATAATTACGGTAGTAGCAATTATTGTTAATGTAATAGATAAAATATATGTATATTAAATCATGTTTCCATGTAATAATAAATTAAATTTTTTTTGTTAAGCATATAATTAAAAGCTGCTTTCAAATAATATTTTGTTATCATCTTTTTTCTTTTCTTTTTCTAATTACGCTCATAAAATGAATGCATATCTAATATTGGGTTGTATACTTTTAAAATAATGATGAAAAAATATCGCGTAAAAATTTGAAAAAAATCATTGGACCGATATAATTATATAATTTATGTCCTCTTATTCACCTTGTAGAAATCACTAATAAAATTTCAAACTTACCATTATTTATTTCATCAACAAACAATGAATTGAAATTTTGCGCAGTATATCTTCACGTGTCGAATTCTTAAAGTTGGCGCAGCATTTCAACAATAAAAAATTCTATCAAAAAAGAATTCGTATTGAATTTCAAGACAGGGTGGAAATGTCGGGGAACAAGGATTCTAACGGTTGGGTGGAAACCTCTTACGGAAAATATTATGGATAAACGAAAACCCTTTAAATATTGGGACTTTGTTTTACAAAGTAAAATATGAGATAATTTATTTGGGAAATTACAAAAGGGGAGCTGTAATTAGCAAAATTAGCGATATAGATAGAAACAAATTAGCTTTTGAAACTTTAAGAGAGAGCAAAGAAATTTTGTATGAAGAGGATTAGCCGTAATCCTTAACATTAACCCTAGCTCATCCCACTCGATTAACAATAGGGGTCTTGGTTATTCTTTACCCATTTTTTAATAATTTTTTTGGAATCTTCATTTAAGTTCTCAATACCTGCAAACAAATCATATTGTTATATAATAGAGATGCTTGACAAAAGAATATCACCACTGCTGGCTTTTGATTAAATTTTCTAATTAGTTTCTTAAAGACGGTTGGAATAGGCATTTTAGGTAAAAAATTAATGTTTTGAACGTAAAAGTAAAAACTCGGTGGAATAAACTCTAAAAAAATTTGTCGATGATCATCAGTGGTATGACAAATCCATTGTTTTCAAGGGCCAGAAATGACATTATTTTATAGTGTGATGATCACAATAACATAATTGAATATTTGCAATGAAGAGGTTGCCGGAGTTTTTACAAACTAAATACTCATTTTATAAATTTTGATTCATGACGCTTTTTACATGGATCGTCTTTGAATAAATAAATATTTACTCCAAGTTTGAATCAAGATTTATTTCAATTATCATTAATCAAAGCTTGTGAAATCGCAAAAAAAAAAGTTTACTATATAATAAATAATATAAAATATCCAGACACTGGTAATGACATTATTGATTTGAGATTATGACATCAAAAGAATATTGTGGATTTATTGTGAAAAAATCAGACACGTACCATTTGGAATTTTTATCTCCCAAAAAAGAAATTCGTCTCAAACACGAATAGCGACTATTGGATTTTCTTGTAATAACTTAACAATTGACTGATTTTTTTCCAAGAAATAATCTTTTAAACTTGATTATGACATTCATTATTTAGTAGGTACACTACTTGCTACACCTAAACTCTTGTGATTAGGATCATCAAAAACAATCAAATCTCTTTCGTGTGCCTTATTATCATCCCCAGGAAAATTAGAATGACTAGGACTTGCAGGAGCTGTATTTGATCTTCTTGTTTGTTGTGAACTTTTGAATTTACCCTTATGTTGGTTAGATGATCCACGTCTTTTCTTTGAAGCCAAAATTAATTGATCTCCAGTTTCCAATTTAACGGCTAAACCTACTCTAGCATCAGATTCATCATAAATTTCTTCTTGAATTAATTCTTCAAGTACATCTTCCAAAGTAACAATCCCAATTGGTACTGGAGGATTTCCTTTAACCACTACAGCCATATGACTTCTTCCTTCTTGAAATGTATTAAGAATATCGAAAAGTGGCGTTTCAGCTTCAACTGGTGGCATCGGATTTATTTGAAAATCTTTCAACGGTTTTGGATCATCTGGATTAAACATTATCAATAACTAAACCATAAGAAAGGATGCTTGTTAAAGAGTATCACCAGGAAAAAAAAATATATTTTTTTCATATAGTAGAGACATTACCTTGGTCAGTAATACGCCCAAGATTTTATCTCGGGATCCATCATAAACAGGAATTCGTGAGTGTCCAGTTGTGTAAATGTCTCTCATAGTGATCCTATCCAATGTGGTTTCAATAGGTATCATATATGCCTAAATTATATGATAAATATTAGACCAATGCAAAGGGTAATAAAAAAAATATTTTCAGGACTTACACTTTCAATCGGAGTCATTATTTGTTCAACAACTTTATCTTGTAAATCCAATGCACCTCGTATTATGGTAACACTATCCTTAATTAAATCACCTCCGCGTTCTGTGGATGTTTCATGATACTTGATCAATTCTTTAAGTTCTGTAATATAATAATTTATAAATGATGAGTTAAGAAGAAATAAAAAAATATATATATAAATTTTCAATATTTTAATATTTACCTGCACGACGATAAATAATTCCATGATTTTCACCAAGAACCCAATCTAATAATTTTGCGATTGGATATGAAATTGGAAGCTATAAAAGAGAAGGTTAATAAGAAGTAATTTTGATATGAAAGAAAGTAATGACTCTTTTATAAGCTTACAGTCAACCAGATTAAAATTCTAACTGGCCTAATAATGGATAGAATTAATTTTCAAAAGAAGATAAATAAATAAAACAAACAAATAAATAAATAAATTAAATTATAAATTAATTTTTTAACAAAAAATTCATACCAGGCGAAGAAAGCACCAACAGCAAGACCATAACGAGAACATACGGATTGAGGAATAATTTCTCCAAACACGACAATAAGTGCAGTAGACACCAAAACAGCAGTTACACCCCCTCCACCCAAAACATCATCCATAATAATTGGTAATGTTTCATTAATTACTACGTTTGCGAGTAAAAGTGTTACTAAAAGCAAATGTCCGTTTTTTCTAATTGGCTTTAAAATTTAATCAACGCGTTTCATTCGTTAGAAATTATATGAGAAAGATGTTATAATTTATACAAAATATTTTGCATACTTGAATCCTTGCTGCATATTTCCTATTTTAAAATATATCCATATTAGAAAAAGAAAATACTTACAATAGATCATGTTTTAAGGTTTGATAAAAATACCTTTGTTTGGGATCACCCGAAGATGCGAGAATATGAAGATTAGTTCCATCAAGGCTCATCTAAGTAAAATAAAAAGGGTTCGTCAGACGATGATCAAAATGAATTGCTTTATTTTACAGTTTACAGATTTAATTTACCAAACCAAGAGTTAATCCTACAAAAATATTAAATTAATCCATAAATTTTTTTTTTTTTTAAAAAAAAAAATCGATATCAAAATAAGTTTTTAAATAGTTACCGGCAAATAATCCACCAGATAAAACCAAAGCAGTAGTTATAGCAACTTTGAGCCAAAATTCAATATTAACATCGTCACTTAATTTAACATGAACCTTTCGCGTAATAGACAACTTTTGTTCTACATTATCGTTAACTGGTATTACAAAGGCCTTAGCGAACAAAATCAAACAATTAAACAAAATGGTAATTATTTTCTTCATTATACTGTAGTTAATATTTATTTGTTGTGTTCATACCTTATCACTCGGTCGAAGAATTTAGATTTTCTACGATCAACTGATGATAACAATGTTGGCACATGACATCATATGACTTATCATAAAAGGGAATTTTCGATACACAAATCTTAAAATGATGAGTTCACATTAGTACCAAATAAAGCAATTTGTTACTTATAATTCCGGCCGAAATTATTTAATCCATATGAATTATATCGAATTTTGATGTGTAACCTTACGAAAACTTTAATATTATGAATAATAATTCAATTCGAAGCTCAAAAAAAAAAAAAAAATAGTTTAGAAATTAAAAGTAAATAAAATACAAGAAACTTTCAAGCTACACCGCCTACGTCCTAGATCAAAGTGTAAACACAAACACATACAACCATTACACACATTCGCTATCATTGTTAGATAAACGTCATGTTTACATCTTATCCGTAATAGTATTACACAATAACGTTTTATATCTCGAATGACTTTTATACACTTTCAACAAATTCTCTTTTTTACAATCCGATAAACGAAATAAGAAATAACGAAAATGCAATTTTCATATCAAATAGTTTGGACAAACTTTCTTGCCTTGATATTTTTCACATCACCATATTATCATGATATCAATATAGAAAGACATATGATATCGAATACAAAATATCCTATAATGACCGATAAACAGCCGAAATTAAGTTCTCCAAATCATTGTAATTTGGAAAAATTATTTCTGGTCGCTAGACATGGTACTAGGTATCCTGAAGAGCCTGATATCAAAAAATTTGAAGTATTAGAAAATATCTTTCAAAATGTTTCATCTAAACATAAGGTACCAAAAAAAAAAAAAAAATGAAGAAAGAAAAATCATTAAGGCTTAATTTCTATTTTTAATTTTTATTTTGTTAAATCTTGTGCAGTTTAAAAATCGATTTTCATTATTACAAAATTCGTTGTTGAGCACCCATGGACAAAAAGAACATTATTTATTGGGTAAACGTGCTTTTAAGAAATATCAGAAATTCTGGAAAAAAATTCTTCCCTATGAACCTTATACTATCAACTTTAGAAGTTCGGAAACTCCAAGGTATGTAATTATTTTTTATTTTATTTTATTTTTTATTTTAGTCATAAAAGTTTGATCGGCAAGGTTTTTATTCCTAATTACGTAAGAACCGGAATGTCGGGAATTTCATATTCTATTGGATTACTCGATGGAAAAGGAATTTTAGGTAAAGGAGATTATCAACCAGTTTATATATCCACCATTCCTGTGGTAAGTCTATGTAATATAAATCATCCTCCATAAGAACAAATAAAATTTTTTGATTTCTTTAATTTTTTTTTTTTTTTCAATTGTGTAAAGTTACAAGATTATGAATTAGCAATTCATAGATCTTGTCCACGTTGGAAAGAAACAGTGCAGAATAACAACGAAAAACTCGAGAAACAAATTTTTCATTTTACTTCAAATTTAACAAAAATTTCAAATCGTATCTCAAAAAAATATAATATTGAGAATCCACCACTCGAACCAATTCATGTCAATTATATTTATTTAGCATGCGCATACGATATTATATTTTTTGAAAAAAATAGACATTGGTGTGAAATATTACAACAGGAAGAAATTTTAACGTTGGAATATTTTAATGATATGAGATATTATTATGAATTTTCTTACGGAAGTGATTTAAATAAGCAATTGGCTTGTAAATTGGTTGGTGAAATCGTAAAGGGTGTGGATGATTATTTGAATGGAGATTCAACTGTCAAAGCAGATTTAAAGTTTACTCATAGCGAAACAATGATGTTCTTATACACTTTCTTGGTAAGTAATTATTGAAATAAAACAAAAAAAAAACATCACTATTGACATTCTTTTTTTACGGTAGGGATTATATGAAGATTCCAATCCTTTAACAGGAAATGCAACTTTTGATGAAATTTCCAATCGGAAATTCAAAACCTCGGAAATTTGTCCATTTGCCGCCAACGTTTATTTTGAAATTTATACTTGTGCCTCCGATAAATATACTTTCTTTTACAAGAAAAAGCATGAGGAATCCACTGTAGTTCAGGTAGTTGTTAATGAGAAACCGGTTGTCGTTCCTGGATGTGGTTCGAAATTTTGTGAATGGAATAAATTTAAAGAATTGTTTAGCGATAATTTAGATTGTGATTTTGAAAAAATTTGTAATTTCGACAAGAATTAAGTGACGTAAAAATTTTTTTTCTTAGTATTTATCAATAAATCTATATTATTTTATAAATATATATATAAATTTGAACGCGTCAAAGTTTTTAGGATATTTAATTATTAACATTATTATTATCACGTGTTCAATCATTTATTTATAGTTTTTTTTTTATACTTATCGATCACATGTATAATAATTATTCTTTTCTTTTCTTTTCGTCAAAAAATTATTTTTTATTTACTTAAATTTTAAACATACACTCCCTGGCCAAAAGTTTAGGACCACCCAGTAAATTAAAAAGAATTACGATTTTTTTATTAACTGATTTTTTATTAGACTAAAAAAAATATATACATAATAACTTTAATAAATAAATAGTAAATTTTCAATATTAATTAGTATGTTTAATAAATTATTGAACATTTAATATATGACGTTTTTTTGATCATTTTTTTAATAAATAAGCCGAAATTAATTAATTTCATCAAAAAAAAAATTTTTTTATGATTATATCACAAAAAACTTTATTTATTAAAAGCCTTTACTATGCATAACATGACAAAAAAAAAACCAGCTCAAAATCTTATAAAATCAAAGAACTATAAAATCATTAAAGATTTTAACAAAAAAAAACCACTATTTTTTGTTAAAAAAAAAATTTAACAAAATAATTCATTATTTTTACTACTAAAAAGTTAATAAAAATAATCTTCAATACTTAATAGGATAACCATAGGCTTTTATCGCTTCTTTGATTTGAGACTCCATACTGTAACAAGTTTTTGATAAACTTCACATTGAATTTGTAACCAGCATTCTTGAATAAATGCTTCTAATTCCCTCAGATTTCTTGGATGATTTTTTTTTGCTCAGATACGACATTCGAACTCGTCCCATAGATATTCAATAGGGTTAAGATCCAGACTCTGTCTCAGCCATGGCAATAGAGTTATTCTCATTTTTTTTATAAAGGTTTGGGTTATTACACTGATATGAATTGGTGCGTTGTCTTGTTGAAAAAAATATTCACCATTTTCTTCTTCAAATTCCTTCAAAAATAGTATTAAGTGATAGCCAATAATCTCCTCTATATATCTTCCATTATTTATTCAACTATCAATTCTCACCAAAGGTCCTAAACCATACTAAGAAAAATACCTCTACATCATGATTCCACTACCACCATGTTTTTTACAGTTGAAAAAAGATAGCTAACATCATATTTTTCTTTTAGAAGACGCTAAACATGAATTTTTCCATCATTTTAAAATAAAGTAAATCTAGATTCATCACTTCAGATAACCTTTTTCCATTAATTTATCGTTCATTGACGTCTTTCACGAGCCCAATTTAACTGAATTTTTTGATTAGATTCACTAACCAATGGTTTCCTAAGAACTGTACGACTATGATATCTTAGCTCATATAATGTACGCCTTACAGTCCTTTCGCTTACTTTATTTTCAGTGGTTTCATTAAAAATTTCATGTATTATTTTTGTTGGTTTACGTCAGTTTTTAATGACAACTGCTTTAAGATAACATTTATCACGTCTGGTCAATATTTTTGGACGTTCACTTCAAAAAACAGTAGTTTTAGTGCCTATTTTATGGTATTTGCTATAATATTATAGATGGTGGTCTTGCTATAACCTGTTTGTTGTGATATTATTCTTTCTAAACTACCAGCTTCATAAAAACTGATGATTCTCCTACATTCAAAATCTGATAGTTCTTTTTTTTAACCATTTTCATAAAATATAGAACGAAAGAAAAAAAAATAAATCTTGATAATTTATTTATTGATTATCATGTAATACAAATTTTAGCTTTTTTTGATCACAAAAAATATTCATAAATGTATATTAAACGCAGATTATTTTGCAGATTCTAGTAGTCCTAAACTTTTGACTAGAAAGTGTATATCTGAAGATTTAAAGATAAAGATAGTATTATGCATTCATTTTTTTTAAAAAATATAAATAAATCAAGAAAACATTATTAATTAAATCAACTAAATAGAACAGATTATCAACAACATATGAATAATTGTTATTATTCCTACAGATTAAATATTCAAGCTTACTCTCATGTTGCTAATACAAATGATAATACAAAAACTTGGATGAATCTTTTTAATGCTTACAGAAAAGCAGCTAATTTCTTCTAAAAAATTTCCTAAAAAAAGAAATGAAATACTTTATTGGAAAATACATCTAAAAATCAAGATACTATAATATGCTGTATTTATTTTTTTACTTCTAATCTAAAAAATTACATATTTTTAGGTTTTATTACTGCTTCTCAATTATTTCAATAATAAACAACATTCATTTGAAATAAAAGAAGATTTAAACATTACAAATGTTTCATCAAAAATTTCGCAAATTAATATTGAAAATGCTAATATTCAAAATTATCAATAATGTTAAAGTAGAGTTATTGTTAAAGCACTAGAATAGATAAAATGGCAATAATATAAATTTATATATCTATAATAAACAAAATAATTTGAAGTTTATGAAAAAGTTTATTACTGTGAAAAATACAGTCTAAAAATATTCTGGAGAAAAAACATTTATTTTTATCATTAGGAATGATATTCTATATCATATGTCACACTTAGTGCAATGTGATATAATATTAAGAGTTGACTAAAGTACACCCCTAAGTATATCTTCCCAGCATTTTTAGGAACAAAAAATGTATTATACCCTAAATACAAAAACAAAATTCTTAAATTTTTATTTTTAAAAAATGTATTATACCCAGGGGTATAATACTTTAATTAAATTATTAGATATAAAATGTTTATTATTTAATATATATAAAAATTCAATATAAAAAAAAAATTTCAAAAAAAATTAATTTCAAACATTTTTATAATTTGATAATTCTTCATCATATTTATTAAATTCTAAATCTTTTACTGATAAATTATTTTCAAATTCATCATTCAACTCACTAATTTCTATTTTATCTTCATTATATTTTTTTAATTATTTTTTTTTTTATTTTTTTTAAATAAAAAATCATAATCAAATAAAAAATGATTCTCACTTCCATCTCTAGCTACTGATATTTCACAACATTTGAACGATTTGCAAATTCTATGAGTCTATAACCCATTTAGCAATTGTAGAATAAATTGGTTTTTTAATACACCCTACTAGTGTTAATTGATGTATTCTGAAGCTATCTAAACTTAATAATATTGTCTTAATTTAGATTTAATAATAGAGATATCTAATGGTTAAAGTTTACTAGTTAATCCACTTGAAATTATTGTTATATTTGTTTGTTTTTCAATAAATCTATTTTTAACTGTATTAACTAAATACTTTCTAAAGAATATAAAACTAAAAGAGATTGAGGGTATTACATTAATTTCATATATTTTTCAATCTACCATAATATTTTATTTTTATTCATCCATTTTTTTTCATTTATATAAATATTAATATCTTAAAAAAATTACTCTTTTAAATATTTTTTAGTTTAAAAATACAAGTAGCTAAAAGTTTAGTACCATCAGCTAAACATGATAAAACAATAATAAAATGAGTTTTTTTATGATCAATTGTACAAATAATTACTGTTGAAGTATCATATTAATCTAATATTGTATTTAAAAGTAAATCAAAAATAACTGGAGTTTCATCTATATTACCAATATATTTTAAAAGATAATCATATTAAATTCTTCGATATAAAATAAAACTAAGAAAACTTTATTATTTTTGTAAAAGATTATCTGGAAGTTGTTACATAATATGAGTTTATTAATGTATTGCAAAATTACTCCTTTCAATAAAACCTTCTAAACATGCATTTGAAAATTTAAAAATATTAATATTTGAATAAGATTAAGACAACCTTTAGCTATAGATTTAGCTTTTTGAATAATTATATTTCGCATAATAGCTTTTACTGCTTGATGTATATTTGTTACCCATAAAAATAAATTTTTCAAGTTCTAAAAGATATACTTCCCTTCTTCATGCAGTTTTTGAATATAAAAGGCTGTATTTTCTAATTGATTTTTTTGGTTTTTTTAATATTGTATTTGTTTAGATTTAACATCAAATTTTTTAGCTGCTAACCTATTACTTTCACATTGTTTAGTATAATAGATAATAAGTAACTTCTCTCTTACATATCACTGTTTTTTTTTCTTTAAAGTTATATAAGATTTTTTTGTAAAACTTTTATTATAATGTACGGTTTGTATCACAAAAAGCTATTCAATAAATTAATCAAACTAAAAATAAAATAAAAATTTTCTAATACATATATTTAAAATATTTTAACATAGTTTGATAGATATTGATTGTTGCTATAAATTAATATTAGAATTACTCTGATTAAAAATAAAGATTAAAAGTTATTAACCAATAAAGTTCAGGTATTTTCTTAAGTGGGAATGAATTTGAAACATATAACTCCGGTCAGAATTATGTTCAAATTTTATAATATAAGTCATATATAAATAGTTTAGACTGTATACATGTGTTAATCGACTGATCAATTTTTTTTACTATAGAACACCCCAAACGACAAATTCAACATTGCTGAAAAATAATAAAAAAAAGAAAACTTCAAATTGTGAAAACTGAATATAGTACAGATGAAGAAATTGGATGAGATAATAAAAATAAAACAGAGGATAAAGAAGTTGGAGATGAAGCAGAGGATAAAGAAGTTGAATGGGTTGATGAGGATAAGGCAAAGCAGCTTTTTTTTAGTTTAACTTAAAATATAAAAGAATTAAAATTTTCTAAACATCTATTAGTAAATGTAGGAAACTCACAAACAACAAAATATTGAAAAAATTAAAGTATCAGAAAATCGAAAAAAAAATGGGCAAACTCTTTATTAACTATTAAATAATCAAAATAATACTGGTAGCTCTAATAGTAATTTTGGTGGTGGTTCTTCTAGTGGTAAAAATAGTTCCAGTGCTAATAATTTTAGTGGTGGTTCTTCTGGTAGTGAAAATGGTTCTAGTGCTGATAA